ATGGCATTCCTGGGTATATCCACAAACGAACTGGTCATACAAAAATTTGTACATGGGGTGGGGGGTGTATAAATTAGGAGGTTGGGATTAATGTATACACACTACTATATATAAAATAGATAACCAACAAGGACCTACTGGGCCTTACACTCAATATTCTATAAAGGAAAAGAATCTGTAAAGGAATATATATACATATATATATGACTGAATCACTGTGCTGTACACTTGAAACTAACACAGTATTGTAAATCAACTATACTTCAATTTAAAAAAGAAAAAATACAGACAAAAAAACCCCAAAGCAAACAAAAAATTTGTACATGAATATTCATAGCAATATTTACAGTAGTGACATGGTAGAAACAACCCACATGTCCATCAATGGATAAATGGATAAACAAACTGTGGTATATCTATGCAGTAGAATATTATTCAGCCATGAAAAGGAATGAGGTTCTGATACATGCTACAGCATGAATGACTCCTGAAAACATTATGCTAAGTGATAGAAGTCAGACACAAAAGGGCACGTATTGTATGATTTCATTTATATGAAATATCTAGAATAGGTCAATCCATAGAACAGAGAGCAGATTAGTGGTTACTAGGGACTGTGAGGACTGGGGAATGGGAGTGACTGCTAATGGGCCCAGGGTTTCCTTCTAGGGTGATGAAAAAGTTCTGGAATTAGTGGTGATGGTTGCATAACATTGTGAATGTACCTAATGCCACCGGATTGTGTACTTTAAAATGGAAATTTTATGTAATGTGTATTTTACCATGGTAAATCTTACATACTTATGTATTTTTCCATAATTTTAAAAATAAAAAAATAATCACTGCTGATGGGCCCATGTCCCAATTAAGTTGCTAAGAGTGAAAACCACATGTTCTGCTGACCTGGGTTTGGGGCTCCTATTTGGAGCATGAATGATTCCAAGGAATCTTTACTACGTTTTCCTTCGGGATGGAGGGCAGTATCATCCAGTATCCTCAGATCCCACAGGCTTTGTGTGTCCAGCGTGATGTGCTCCTTACCAGCAGGCAGGTAGGCAGGCAGGCAGACATTCTCGCCTGAGATTCCGAGAAGTGGGCTGACTTTGTCTGAGGTCATGCGGCCAGGGCAGAGCTGAAGTTAGAGCCGGTCATTCTGTGCCGTGCTCCTGTACTCACTTTTAATGTCATGAATGTGCTGGAAACTGTAAAGCTACATGTGCCATTATTCCTATGAGAAAATGTGTTCCAAATCCCAGCAAGTTCCTTATGAAGGATATCTGTAACTCAAGCCTGCTGTGGTTTGGGGGTTGCCTGTTCAGGGCTGGGAGAGGAAGTAGGTACACAGTCCATTTGCCCGGATTCATGTAACCAGATCTCCCCTTTCCGCAGGTTATTGCTGAAACTACACTTTTTCCCTGGGCCAAGACAACTTTAAAAATGAAACGAGTGAGATGCTTTCTCTTTTTTCCCAGTTGTGTTAACCGATCACCGCTAAGGCAGGTGATTGGTTTTTTTTTTTTTTTCTCCTTCGATCCTAAGTTTGGAAGCATTTGTCAACAAAATAATTATTAGGTAAAAAGTAATTCTGTTTTCTATCTTTATTGATAAACAAAAATAATAACTAACACACCCAACTTGTTTTGTGCCAAACATTCTTCTATGTGCTTTATACATACTAAGTCTTTCAGTCCTCATAACTGGGTGTGGTATGTACTATAATTGTCCTCACTTTACAGATGAGGAAATTGAGGCCCAGATTTCATAAATGGTGGAGCCAGGATTGACACCCAGAGCCCATGCTCTCAACCACTATTTCTCATCCAGAACTTTATATCAGTCTGAAATAACCAATGCTATGGAATGAATTGAAACATTTTCATGCCTCCGAAAGTATGTGTTTTAATTAGCCTGTAGAGCTTTATTAAAGGTCCTGTATTTGTATCACCTTATTGAATCCTTATAAAAATCCTATGAGGTCAGTCTTTACTCCTACTTCACAGATGGGAAAACTGAGGTCTGGAGAGCTGAGCCATGTTTTCATGGCTCCCAGCTAGTTAGAGGTGGGATTATAAGTGGAGGCCGTCTGACGAGAGGGCCTGTGATCTTCACCGCCTCCCTAAAGGCCAATGTATCATGTCCATTCGGATTTTTGAAGGTTTCAGTATAGCTCAGATATCTTTATTATGACCTTCCTGGACTCTATATACTGAATGCCTTACCTAGCCTACCTCTTCATTTCTAGTTTCCCAAATTTTCTGAACCTAAAAGGGTCTGTGCAGAGCTTTCATGTGGCATCTCCCCTAAACTACCTGCATTTGAGGGCCCTTAGAGCAGCATGTTGTCCAAAGACCCAGGTTTTGCAGCCACTGAGCCCCTGGGATGCAGCTGTCCTCTGTCCTCCACACCTTGTCTATCCTGGGGCCCACCCAGCCCACGGTGGGAGCAGTGGGGGACTGGCGTGGATCACTGAGTGCCTTGGCCACTGGGTTTGAGGTTATTGCTTTGGTGTTACCTTGGGCTGCTTATTTTTAAGTGACCGTTTATTCCAGTTTGACAGGAAGAACATACTAGAAAGCAACAGAGAGAGCAGGTGCTCAGCATTCTGTGGCAGGAAAACTATGCAGGCCAACTCTAAGTTCTGCTAGGGTGTAGGGGCCACTGGGGAGCCAGGCACTGTCAGGGTTCCAGGGATACTCACTTCTTCCTCTGCACCCTCGCTAAGGCCAAGGGGCCTTGTGCCTTTCGTAATGAACTTCTAAGGAATTTCCAAGGAGGTCTCCATTTCTTAGACCATATTCGTGGGTATTCTTTTCTTTTTTCCTCCCCAAAGCAGGGTAGAGTGAGAGAAAACTTATAGGACCTGAACTCAGAATTCTAGGATTCTGTTCCCAACTCCAGTATGGTCTGAAGAATTGGACCATCTCTTCATGGATTCAATAAATCACGGTATATACTTTCTTTAAAAGGCAGGATGTAAATTAACAAACACAGACAAACACGTAATGTCAGAGTCTCCCTTTTCAGCCAGATCATGCTGGTCATCCCTATTCAGATGGTGGTAACATTAATTCATTCACATATTCGTTGAACATTTGCTGTGTGCAAAGCATTGTTTGAGTAGCTTTGAGGTTTTCCAACATGAATCTGATACAGATCCTGTCTTCCTACCTTCATGGACATTGATATTTTCCATTTACATAAATAACTGTAAACAAGCTGGAAAGTAATATGCCATAAGAAAGGTGGTAATGAAGTGCTTGGGATTCCTGAGCTGGGGGAGAGGAAAGGTTGTAATGAAAGTGCTATAAAAATAGAACAGAGATCATTATGTGTTACGCTAACAGGGGAAAAAGTGTCCCTCACTTTTGCCCCCAAAGGACTGAATCTAAGTAGGGGAACCCAGCCACAATTTTAAAATGTTCTTTTGTCCCATACTAGTCCAATCTGTATTTTTATGTGGGGAACAGCTTGGTGGGTTGGACAAAAGGAATTCTATCCTGTTAATAGTCACCTTGGGTAATTCTTTTTTTTTT